TGCAATACACTTTTCTAGACACTTATCTGCAGTGATAATCTTAAGAACTATAATGGATGAGATAAGAGTGATATTATTATGTAAACCACGTGTGATTAGATTATCAGTGATATCAACCCAAAACCCACAACACTAACATGTGATAAACTACATCATGACTTTCCATTTCACACGATACATTTTTTTTCTGCACACCCATTGCGCTTATCTGACGTAGGCCTACATAAAATGATGAAAAAATAGTTTCCACACAAAATAGTACAAGGTATTCAGTAAATATGCATAAAAATCTGGAGGAATCACAAACCACCAACGTTCCCTAGTGTCCCGTGAGAGTGACTGAATGGATGGCGAGATTCAACTGGGAGAAGAAAACGGACACTCACGTCATCGAATTGCATAGCAACCCAGACTGAAGGTCGCCCGCAAATTTCAAAGATCTACAAATGCCACATAAGTTATCATCAGTTATAATCATTGTTATTATTGCTATTATTTGTCATAACTACGAGTATGGTTGTTATTATTGTTGGTATCATTATCATATTTCTTAACATTACTGTTATCATCATCGTCGTCATTGTCATTATCATTATCATAATTGTTTCTATTATCAATTTTATTGTTAGTATTATCATTGTTATTATCATTATTATTATTATTATCATTACTATTATTATCATCATCGTCGTCGATGTGATCATTATGATCATCATTATTATTGTTTGAGTCCAGGTTTCATGCATAACAAATTGCAAATAAAACTATAAACATGTTTACCAGGATCTTTATTTCGGGGCCCTCTCCGTGCAGCTGAAGAAATGAATCAGTTTCTGACTGTATGAAACCTGTTTGTGAAGCTGGTAAAGCGAAAAAGCTGAACTCATTTTCGTGGTCATTTCTCTCTCTCTCTTTATGCATATTCATATATAAGGCCACAAGGATGAAATGTCCTGTTTTTATGGCAAGGCAGAAATGAAAACTGATGAGGGTATTTTTTATTATTCATTATCAGTTTCTAGTAGCATTTAAAGAAGTAAAAATATTCTCTCTAAAGAGCATAACAAGATAACAGCTTTTTAAATTGATTAAATCAATTTTTTTGCCAGAATATATATATATAATATAATATCTATATCTATATCTATATATACATACATACATATATAATATATATATATATAATATATTATATATATATATATATATATATATATATATATATATATATATATATTTTTTTTTTTTTTTTTTTTTTTTTTTTTTTTTTTTTTTTTTTTTTTTTTTTTTGAGGGCGTTGTCGGGACCTGCGGGCGGTGGATGTAAAACACTTTGTTTCTCATGATCTAAAGACATAATACATACTTATATAAATAAGATAAAATACAGATGACTATAAGCTAAATATAGTAATTATTCAATCTCTAATCGTAGCAAATCAGTATTGACCGGTCGTATATTTACGAAAAACATATTTATACCACTTTATTTGGTATAATACTGTTATATGTCGCAGAAAAACCCACAATGCACAAACTAGATTTATTGAAGAAAGTGAGACAACAGTTGTCATAACCGATACGGAAACATCGTTGAGTGCAGGTTCCGAGTTGAAGAAAGTGGAAATAAAACAACGAAGAGAAAAAAGAAAACACGAATTCTACCAAAGGCCTTTTGGCTGTATTACTTCCAGGGAAGAAGGGTTACGCGATGGTGATACGTCTCGCATCTGTTCTCAGGTTACTTGATACATATTGATAAATTACGGTTTATTAATTAGATATACACAATTTGTTCCATTCCATTGCATTGTGAGTATTTTGCATAATCTGAGTTAGAATAGATGATCGTTTTAGAAAAGTACAAATGTATATTCCTTTATTACTGAGGAGTTTATAAATACAAAAGTAAAAATGCAATTTGTATGCTCGAATAATTTATTGTTGTAAGGTAACAACAAAATAAAGAATGAAGAAAATAGAACATATATAATTCATTAATACTTTGGTTGAATATTAAGAATTGTGGAGTGAATAACTAAATAAAATACATTATATGGATATTAAAAATAATTTGCAATATGCGTGTTTACATCCCCTCACATACACAATGTGTATCGTAGGAAGGAATGGTGAAGACTGTGAGCTATATTCAGTAAAAAAAAAAATAGATATCATTGTTTCTGATAGCCGTAGTAAACCTATGTTAACCGGTCACATATGTTAGAAAAAAATATGAACACATTTGGAAACATTAGTGCAGGTTTCGAGCTGAACCAAGTGCAAATAAAACAACGAAGAGAAAGAAGAAAACACGAATCTACCAAAGGCCTTTTGGCTGTATTGTTTCGGGGCAAGAAGTGTTACGAGATGATATTACGTCTCACAACTGTTCTCAATGTATTTGCTGTATATTGATACAATTTGGTCTCTTAATTAGGAAGACGATATATTAACCTTTTTTAGTCGCCTTATGGGTACATTAGGTAAAAAAATGTGTTTGAGGAGGAATTCTATGTGTACTAGAAATTAAAAATATATATTTAAAAACGGAGTTCATATAAAAAACAAAAATGTTATAATGAATTAACAAAATATATATTATTTAAATAACAACAACAAGCAATGAAGAAAATAGAACGTATACAATTTATCAATATAGTGGTTAAAAATTAATGACTGAAGAAAGGAATAATGAAATAAGATACATTAAATGAACATCATAAATAATTTTCAGTATGCGATTTTATACACACCACACGTGTACGTAAGTAATATATATATATATATATATATATATATATAATATATATATATATTATATATATATATATATATATATATTAACAACTTAGATATCATTCAGTTTCTAACAACCGTAGTAAACCAGTTTTAACAGGTCGGATACATAAAGGGTGGTTCAACATTTTCATAAGCGCTCTTTTTGCTACCCCTCCCCTCATACTCACGCTACCCCCTAAAAGCTTGATAGGGGATCATTTTCTTGATTTAGGGCTCTTTTCACATAAAAGGTGACAAGATCTTTCAGAACCAAATACGTCTGATATTACATACCACCCAATAAATATATGAATTTAACATACTATCAATTTGATTGACTTAAAACTTCACGTACCCATATCATAGTTACGGTATTTACATACGGATACTGAGCACTCGGTATGACCTTACATCGACATTTTCATTGAATTTAAAAAGCGTGTGAGCGGCTTTACCCCGTTTACACTAAGTTCTACTTTGTACGTTTGTGAAAGAATATTAATACATATTTGTTCTCGTTCGACACTGCTACAAATTTTGACTGGTATGGAAACAGCAATGAGTGCAGGTTTTGAGCTGAACAAAGTGCAAATATAATGAAAGGAAAGGCAACATACGAATCTCCGGTATTATTGGAAAAAGGCGTCACAATTGAATCGACCAAAACTAACCTTATAGCCTTGAAGATATCTATTTAACAATCACTTTTCGTTAAATAAACTTTTTCTCGCAAATTAATAATAACGAAATGTTTTAATTTTTAAAATAAATATAAAAATAACAAAACGAGGTAAGATTCACACGGGAGCTGCGGGAATACTAACCAAATTCTTCACTGCGCATGCGCGGAGTCTCTCGTACTCGTACTCAAAGACTATATACGAAAGATAGGAAAGCATGGCAAAAGCCCAGCGATTGGTGGATAGTGTAATATCTGAACAATAGATGGCGTTGTGTACACGATGCATCGTCTGTTTGTTTACTATCACGAAACGTCACTTACTCAATACGGTAGGAAAGGGACTTTGTTTTGTTTTTTGTTTGTTTGTTTGTTTTTGCATGTTTTATGCTTCCTGTTTTAGCTGTAGGCCTGCTTTCCTTAATACTTTCATTGATGATGACTTGGAATCAAATAAAGAACTGCTTTACATGGATGTGTTTTGTTTATCCTTGATTTAATGACAACAAAAATGAATGAAAAAGATGAAGAATTTATGCATGCCGAATGATTGTGGATTTTATTTAATAGATTTGTTTATTTAATAAATAGTAGAGTTTTTGAATCTAAGTTTATATTCACTGTATTAATACCAAAGATATTTTCTGCAATAAAATTGTATAGTATTTAAACAATGGACTTTTTTTTATTGGTCATGTAAATATCCATACACATGAGATAATTATTAATGTTTTATTGTCATTTTCTGAAAAAAAAAGTGTAAAACCTTATTTTAATGTATGAAAAGAAATCTCTAATAGGAAAAAAATATTAATGAACAGAATAATTATATAATTCCATGTAAATTTATATATATAAGTAGTTCTTTGATAGTTATATTTCAAGTCTCCTATTTAAAAAAGACATCGTAAAATTCCAACTGAAACTAAACCTTTAAAACTAAAACAAAAATAAAAAATAAAAATCTTTTCTTTGTTACATATCTAAACAATAGATGGCGTTATAAGGAGTGTTGGGCCGCACATTATTTTGAGCGGTGTGATCCGTGCTTTCCTATCTTTCGTATACAGTCTTTGCTCGTACTGTTCCTGTTATCTCGCCTGTGACGTCACGGCCAGTGTCACGATTTCATTGGTCAATTGTTTGGCGGTTAATTTAATAGCCAATGGGGAAAGAATTCACGGAGGAAACAGCCAATGAATGAACATGAGCTAAAATAGAAGCTATGAAATTCAATTTTCAAATTAGTCTCGCCATGACTTCCGTGTGTGTAGGATGTGGTATCAAACCATTCCAATTTATATAAAGTTATTTTGAAAACGATGAGGCTAGCTTGAAACTATTACGTGAACACGGAGTTCTACCCTCTGAAATGCCCTGCGATCGGCCGTCGCGTCGCTCGTGCTCACGCAGACCTTTCCAGCGGTTCCGCCCCCGCAAGTCGCTCCACTGATATGACGACCCTCACCCCGGCCCCTCCTCTGCATGGGTATGTTTTAGGTTTATTTTCACTGAAGTGACTAAATGTACGTTGCTTCGCG